GTTTACGACCCTCCCCGCCCATGCACAGGAGCTGTGCCTCGGGCTTCTCCTGCAACTCGTGCGTCTGGCCCCTCTCGTGACGAATCCGGAGGGGAGTGACGGCACGGAGACGGCAAAAGAAATACTCGGCAGACTTTCTGGTGCCGCTCGGACTTATTTGACGTCCGAGCAACCCCCCTTCCTGGTGCGCCTCCTCGAAAAACAGAAGGTCTCCCCGGATGATACCATCCAGCACGCCTGGAATGCAAAGTGGACCCTAGAACTCGGGGAGATCCTGGGGTGTGGCGAGGCTGCAGCGTGGCTCCGGGGCATCGAGACGGCTAGGGGGGTCGACAAACTATTGGCGAAGGCCACCCAGTTGGAGGAGGGTGGCACGTCCGCGGAGGCAACGCGGGCGCAGAAGAGCGAAAGCAAGAGGGTTCGGGAGGTACGGCAGGCGCCTGCGAAGAAGCCCAAGGCCACGGTGGTCGGGGGCGAAAAGGTACGATCGAAGGCACGCGTCGAGGCGCCGGTCGAGGAAACGTCCGAAGAGCACGAGCGAGCTACGCAGGGGTCGGAAGCGGACGGAGGCAATCTCGAAGCAGAGGAGGAGAGAATCCGGGCGCAGTTCGAGGAGCTGGAGCGGGCCAAGAAGGGATTCGAAGCGGAGAGGGCTGAGATAGAGGGAGGACAGGCGAGTCTCCGGGCGCAGTACGAAGAGCTGGAGCGGGCCAAGAAGAGCTTCGAAGCGGAGAGGGAGAAGTGTGAGGAAGAGAAAGCGATTCTGCGAGCGCGGTTAGAGGAGCTGGACCAGGTTGATGCGGCGGAGGCGGCGCCGAATGAGAAGGGCAATGAGCAGCGTGATCAATCGGAGGATCTGGAGACAGCATCGAAGGAGCTCGAGAAGGACAAATGGCACACAAAAAGTCTACTTGGAAGTATACCATCAGCATACTTATGCAAGTCATGGACGCAAGTATGCATGAGAATACACATGCATGATCTTGAAAGCTACCGTTCCGAGTAAGTAATCGAAGCGCGTTCAAACGAAGCACAGATAGGACCAAGCTGTGAAGACTGTACTGTTTATAAGACCGCATATGATGCATTCATCTACAGTAGCTTTTGTAATGATCACGTCCAACTTCTGAGTGCGCGGATCTGAGTGTATATTTATAAAGGAGTTCACTGGATCAATGTCGTAGATGGCTCTCATGAAGAGCATCAGGCACATCAGGCCTTATGTAGTCACTTTATGTGATTGCTATATTCATCCTGCCCCTAACTTCTGACATAACAACACTCGACTTTACCATAGGATTCAATCCCCACATCCGTGCGCTGTTATGTTCAAACTTCACAATCTTGTTTTACGCTGGGCGTCTATGCTATAACATCTTCCTCACTCTGCTAAATATTTCAACTCTATTGTTAATACCCCACCGGCAAAGCGTCGCTCGGCGTTTACCACATCATCTTTGCCGCGCTCAGCAGTACCACAAATCAGCATCTAACATCAGTTTTTACAACCCGCCTGCGAAAATTCGCTCAGCATTTACATAGTATCTCCCCCTCGCTCAAGAATACCAGAAAGCCGTGACCACAAACTGAGCTGACGAAGCCTCGCTCGGCTTAGTCGTACTACCAAACTCTAATTCTAAGACGAAGTTCTTAACCACAGACTCAATCAACCCGCCGGCAAAGCCTCGCTCGGCTCGGTCGTACCAGGACTCCAAATTTAAGACGAAGTTCTTAACCACAAACTCAATCAACCCGCTGGCGAAGCCTCACCCGGCTCAGTCTTACCAGACCTAGGACGAAAGTTTTAACCACAGACTCATATGTCCAGCCTGACAAAGCCTCGCTCGGCTCAGTCGAACCGGAACTAGGACGAATGTGTATACCACAAACTCAATCACCCCGCTGACGAATCGGCATCTATCAATAAACCTGCCCCTTGCTCAGCAATACCAGAAATAGCAAGCAAGTTATGACTTCAACCCTAACTTTGATAACACTCCGACGAAGTTTCGCTCTACATTTTCGAGATCATGGAGCCTGAAACATCTGCCCCAGAGCCTGCCCGGACGTCCGTAGAGGCGGGCTTCCAAAGGTCCCCTTGAGTCCAGTCAAAATGGCTGCACGAACGGGAGGGGTCGTGAGTCGGCGAAGGGCAAACTGTATAATTTCAATGATTGCAACATTTTTGGCAACAATTGCAAAAATCAAGCAAGAAAGCCTGTCTTTGGCTTCTCACCAGATCCACCATCCGGAGAGTTGACGCCACCGGGACTTGTAAGACTGCCCTCCGCTGCGTGGAGGAAAACTCGTATGGTTTAGCATCCTGTTCCGTCTTTGTCAAAAGCGTCGACTATGTATTATAGCAGGGGAATCACAACCCACAGAAGAAGCAACAGAGACGAAGCAGCTGCTCACCTGGCAGTAGATTGTAATCAGGGATGTCCATCACATTCCAAGCTGGCACGTCGAGATCCTGCGTGCTGCTGCCGTCTGTCTTGACACGACCTGTAAGGAAAAACAGTCCTCCGGATCATGAGTACTTGATCGTACCAACTTTCAGTAGAACACCAATTGTACCTCTCAAGAACAGCGGATCCGATGAGACAGGTGCGTCTGCGATTGATTCCCAAAGGTGTATCTCATGGTCTCATCTAGCTACATCACTCACCATCCTGAAAGAGGGCAGCAGTCCCTTCCTGCATCAAACCCACGCCTGCATAGAGATGTGTTGTCTCATCAACACAGATTCGGTCGGTTTCCATCAGAACCAAGCGAAACATTGCCGTTGTACCGCATCAAGTGCCTGCATTGGCTTCCACATAGAAGGACAGCTATCCAGGGTTTCTGACTTCATAATCAGTGCTAACGCCGAGATTCACCTGCCACTGGGTCTCCCATGGCACAGAGTTGGCGAACTTGGTCTCTGAGTTCTCTATCTTTGGCCTCGTTCACTTCTTCAAGGAACTGTACTCGCCTCGTCAGAGCACCTATCTCCTCCCTTAGAGATTTCAATTCGGTACTCAGCGCCTCGCACCTGTGACAAGACAGCAACACATCACTGCTAATTGTCAAGATCTGCAAAACCTCTCTTCCTTTGGCTACAACCTAAAGCAAGAGTAGAGCGTTCGCATTTAGTCTTGTCTTGCCTGTAATAAAGCGTAGGGGGTTCTCATTCAATTCAGTTCAGGGAAACCATCTGTTGCTCACCATCGAATTTGTGCAGCCTCCTCAGAAGTTTTATGAGGCGGTGACGTGTAGGAGCGGCGCATTATGTATCACGAAGAGAGAGCGTGAACGTCGCTGAAAAGGGCGCAGTGTGCCGTGCTGCAGGCTGTTCAGAAGGGATGTTGATTGCGACAGAAAAGTGGCGCCCTTATTGTCAAGGAGACGCATTGCTGGTCGGGGCTCAGTGTTCTTTGATGTTGTGAAGTCTTTGTCACCATTATCGAGGTCTCCTTACCTGCGCGTAAAGCTGACGTCAACTTGTCAACATAACGTCCTTGCAAAGTTTCGAGCTGACCTGGGGCAGTTCCAACTTCCTCCTGCTTGGTTGATACGGTGCCACTGGGGGGGGGAGATGATTGCTTTTTCCTCTGCATGCATTCTGCGGCTTTGTTTTATTGATGCGCAACTGGCTGTTTTTGAGATGCAGGGACTGAAGAGGGATGCTAGGTGGAGGCTTCTGCGTATATTTCGCGCTGCCGCGTTCTGATCCACATGGTGCTGACTTGGCTTACAATGACGGATCCAGTCGGATTGGGACACGTTTGTGCTTTCCGGACACGTGGTATAAACCGTCAATTAGGAGGTTGAAATCCGCTTACGTGGGACTCAAGAGCTACCGGTACAATCTTTCCCCGGTCTGCATTCGTCGTGAGTCGACGCTCTGAAAATTGCCCGGGGAATTTAGGCGGTTGAGAGTACCAGCATGGTTACCTACCAATCTGGGTTTCGTCTGTATGCTGTTCTTTAGCCTAACATTTTGATATCAGATGCCGCACGTGAGCATTCGGGGTAGGTCATTACTTTCACCACATCTAAAAGTTGACTTCCACT